GATCGGTGACGGGGAGAGGCTAGAGGCCGTCGGTGAGTGGTGCCCCGGAGTTTGCTAGGCTCCGGGGGTTCGGCAATTGGAGCCTCTATCGCCTTCTTAAGAAAGACGCGCTGGGTTCGAAAGGACCCACAGCGCTTAGAGATCCGTCTCTCCGTCTCTGTCTCCAACTGGGCAGAAACCACCCAAGCCTTTTGTACGGCTAGCAAGCCAATAGCTAGCCGCCACGTGTGCCTAAATTAAGACCGGCCAATAATGTGGCTCAAATCTTAATACAAATGGCGGGAACTCCTTTGCAGCGTGCATCACTGTAATGCAAGAGAAATGCACAATGCAAAGAAGGCTAGAAAACGGCGGGAAACACTTTTCTGCACGCGGGTTCTCTATAACAACGGAACACTCCGTCATGCAAAAGAGCTGCAATTCGGCGGGAACATAATTTAGCGGTGCCGAAGCGCACACAATCAAAAAATCCACAACTTTGGGTTGTGACAAGTTCTACTTCTGTGACGTTCCAAAATGTTTGTAGCGATCTGTATGGGATCACTAAAGGTACATCTACACTACATGCTGCAGTTTAATATGCAGATATGTGAGCTGACTAGCCTTCTAGCCACACTAGCTTCATGCAAGTTAGCTTTCCCAGCAAGATAGATTAGGCTACACAGATCTCTGTGCTACTGTAGTTAGACTGCTGTTAATTCAGCATACAGGTTAGAGCACTCCCATGGGAGAGGGCAAATCCTTTAGTCCAATCCCTGATGCAAGTGCTCTGTAGGTGTTTTTTGTTTGTTTTGTTTTGCTTTTTTTTTTTAAAGCAATAATTGGATAAAACTGAAATAGTTCTTGAAGCAGGTGCTGAAACCAAGAACAAGGTGCTCTCTCATCACAAGTGAGCGTCTTAATCACTGAGCTACAGAATGTTCCCTCTTTCTGCCAGGTAGCGATTCCTATGCAGAGACAGCTGTTTCAAAAGGACTGGTACTTGGTGCTTAGGGCATTACCTGGCACACAGGAAATCTGGGTTTGAATCTTTTTAGGCAGAGAACGAACTTGAATCCAGGTGTCATGTATCCTGGGCTAGTGCTCTAATCGCAGAGTCACTGTATTAGTGATGGGGCTAGTGCCATTCCTCTCTCTCAAAAGAAAAAATAACTTTAGGACATGGTTCTGAACTGTAACTGTCATGTGAAGGAAGCCCTTCCCAATAGTAATGAGTAAGGCACCTTAACCTCAGAAAGAAGCAGAATTTAAGGTATGCTTCTATCATTATTTCTCTACTAGCTATTATGGGCAGCTTACCCTGTGTTCTGGTTTTTGTGGATCCCATTCTGAGTTGCCTTATTCTTTCCATATATAGCATAAGGCTGGGCTGCCCAACTGGTGTGGTTAACTTTTGGCCTGTCACCTCCAGCCTGGCTGCCACTCTGCCCATTCCTCTTATGGCAGAGGGCCAGGGTCTCAAAGCTCTTCCTTCTGGGTCCTGCCCCTGCTCCTGGGAGTGGCATGGCAGGAGGGAACCAGGTTGCCCATGCTGCAGGGTGGGCTGCCCTTGCAGCATGTGCGGTCATCAGGTAGGTGCTGCTTACGCAGCTGGGGAGAGCTGGACTGTATTCGCAACAAGGAGGGAGGCTTAGCATGGGAGGGGTGGCCTCTCTAGCATGCAGCCCTTGTGTGATTAGAAGCTGGATAGCCCTGTTGTAAGACTCACCACCTTATTCAGGGTTTTAGATTCTGCTTCAGGGGCCAGCCATTTAAAATTGAGTTGCTGGATCTGGTTTGTTCTGTTTCCAGATACGTAAGTAAGCTCAGACTGAGATAAGTGTTCATGCTGTTAATTTATGTTGTCTCTTGACGAACCTTATTTGTGAAATGCTAAATGGCGTTAGACGTGTTCTGAGCCCAAGAAGTTACCTTCTCTGAGACTCCAGAGAACCTGAGTGTTGTCGAAGAATCTATTATCAACCTTGGGCTTCAGGTTTACATTCACTGAGATGAACATACCTGAGCTCTCCCCACCTCTTGCTAATTGCTTCTGTTCTTTGCAGACCACCTAAGACAATGCTGCATTATTTCCTATTAGCAGTCTTCTGAATTGAAACTTGTAGTGCAAGCTTAAAAGCTGAAAAATTATAGAGAGAACAACCTCCACCTCTTTGCTAGCATGGGCCATGTCCACACAAGCATGGACATTTGTTTCCCCAGGGATAAGAAGTAGTATGAAGTCAGGAAAAATTTGTTAATGGACATTTGGGCAAATGCCTGCATTTATTTATATATGTATAGAACTTAATGTCCATAGAAACAGATAAAACTTTCTTCCTAAAGATCCTGTTGCAGATATCTTACATTACCTTCCTTGCTATCAATCTGATCCTATCACACATACCTGTCTTTGAATTCCTTACTGAATTTACAGTGGTATAATAGATCAGAATCTGGTTTCAAGGCAGTAGTTCATATGCATCCTGATTACCTTGCAAGCTTGTTGGAATTTAGAAATATAGAACTCCGTGCTCCAACTAATTAATTAATATCTATATATGCATTGGACCCAGGAACACTGTGTATTTGTCAGTGTTCCCTAAGGGACTTCTGTATGCTTCAGATGCATAATGCAATAGAAGCCTTTGCTTTGTGAGAAATAGGTTAATGAATTGTCAAAAGACAGCTGTTGTTTGAAAAAGTGCATACAAGTATTTTTCTTTGCAATGTTTGTAGGTTGCATTTGTTATGACTCGTGCCCTAGAACAGGTGCCACACTTGCTGACTTTATCCAAGTAACAAAAGATGCTCTCCAAGTACAATATGGAACATTCTTAATGCGCTTTTTAAAATCAAACTGGAAAATGTTACTTCCCAAGCCATTCCATGACTGATATGAGCTGTCTTTTTATTCAATGTTACAAACAAGTTTGTGACTTGTTAAGGTAGTTATCTTTATGGTTGAATGGCTTAAAATACAAGGCCCTCCTTCATTACATATACAGCACAAAAATCCAAAACAAATTATTCAACTTTCAAAGGACCCTTTGAGCTAGCTATATCTACAAAAGCAACAAGTGCAAATGCTGAAGGAACTTGGAGTGAACTAAGAGCAGTCATCCAGGAAGCAGCTACAGAAATATTTGGGGAAAAGAAATTGTCAAATAAAGACTGATTTGAGGCACACTTAGAAGAGATGCTACCACTTGTTGAAGCCAAGAACACAGCCAACTTGAAATACAACCAGAATCCAACAGAAAGTTCCAAAGCTAAGCTGAAGCATGCCAAGCAAATGGTACAAAAACAGCCAGATGCTATGCTAACCAGTACTAGACTGAACTATGTCAAGATATACAGTTTGCCTCAGACACAGTCAACCTGCGACTTGTGTATGATGGCCTGAAGAAAGTCCTTGCCCAACTGTCCCTAAAGTCCCTCTTAAGTCTGGAGATGGCAAAGTAAGAATCACTGATAAGAACAAGAAGATGTCATGCTGAGTTGAACATTACTTAAGAGCTTTAATCCCAAGAAACAGATATTTCAGAAGAGGCACTGGATCAACTTCCAACTCTAAGTGTATTGGCACAGCTAGAAAAAGAACCTACAGCCAAAGAATGTAGCAAAGCTATAGACTCTCTAGCAAGCAGAAAACCACCAAGGGAGGATGGCATCCCAGTTGAAGTTCTGAAGTACGGCAAGGCTAGCCTGCTATCACATCTTCAACGACTAGCATGCTGCTGGAAGGAAGGTCAAGTACCCTAGGACATGCGTGACGCTAACATCATCACTATCACTCTCTACAAGAACAAGGGTGATTGCAACAACTATAGGGGTATCTCTCTCCTCAGCATCACAGGCACGGCTTTTTCCAGAGTCATCTTGAAATACTTGC